TTTTTTTTTCCATTATTGTATATAACAAAATTAAATTTAAAGAAGCTCTGTAATATCAACCAATTTAATTGAATTCTCTGGCAAACTTCTAGGATAAAAATTGCTAAATAACACTACTAATACTAAGAATTGCTCAATGGTGTGCGTATAGGGTCTACTTATGATCACAAATTATAACGACTTAACATCACTTATCATGCCACGTCACGCAGTGCTTTAATTGGATAGTCACAACTAATATAATTGTCATGTCATTCTCTATTATTGATCAGTATAGGTCTGATATGAAATCTCACGTTGACCAATAGCTAGAAAACGACAAATAATTATGCATGATTTTTCTTAGCACAACTCATATTTTTCGGACACAATACCTCTGAGGCCGGACTTCCAGACGCAGTTGGTGTACTTGAGGCCGGAAACAATGTTGTTGGCGACGGTGAAAGTGAATTTCAGGCGGTAACGGTTGCCTTGCTTGAGAGTGAAGAGACTGCTCTTGGAATTGTTAGTGAATGGAATTGGCAACACAAGATCTGGCCTACACTGGCGCTGAATGGTGAGGCTCAGTATCTTCACTTCCGGTTCTTTGATCTCTGATTCAGCAAAATGGATGTAAATCATGATCATTATAATAAATTATTATTATTAGTTTTCTTTTTCTAAAAGAAATTGAACAAGTTTTTGGAGCTAAAAGTCAAGCTGAACTATACCCCTCTTGTGAGGGCATTGTGGCATTGATTTTGTGTAACAGCCAAAATTTATTGAACTACTAATTTCAAAATAATATTGACCAATTACAGAGTGACAACCAAATTAGCACTGGAGAATGCCCAAAAGGACTAGAACTAAAATGTGCTTTCTGTTATCTCAATCAATCAGAAAAGAAAAGTGGAAAGAGAATGGGTTGGGTGGTTGCTTTGGTTGGTGAAATTGTCTGCAATATTATGATTTTTATGGGAAAAAAAAAAAGAAAAAAAAGGGTATTTTGTACCTCAACTATCTTGCAAAAAGAGGGGGAAAAAAAAAAGATTCAGTGTTTATGAGAAAAATAGTAAAAGAGTACCTCCAACAGTAGAGAGATCGACTCTCCCAAGAAGCTGTTCCTTCCATTTCCTCAAACTTTCATCATCCTTTAAAAAAAAAAAAAAAAAAAAAAAGGAAAAAAAAAAAATAAAAATTAACAAAATTTGCATGCATGAGATAATTACACTAACACATTTTCAATACACATAATTAACAATAATATACATGCAAAAAGAATATAACGAGAGACTAATTAATGACTTACTTTGTCTTTCTCAAGCTGGTCCTTGAGAGAGACCAAAGGGCCAGGATGCAAATTTTTCTCAGATTCCAACTTGGTAAGATCACCACCTTCTTCCTCAGTCTCTTCATCAGAGTCGTTGCTATTATGATCTTCATGGTCAGTCTCAGCATTTTGAATTTGGTGATCACCACATTTAACGGCGTTGATGCTCTTCTTCATGTTATCCTTGATCATCTGATCTTCTTTTTCTTCCATTTGGGGCTTGAAAGTCATTTCTCTGCCTGAAGAGATCATGGCTTCTAATGCAGCAGACATTTTTTGGTTCAAAAGAAACACTCAAAGAAGTGGAAGAAGTTGAGACTTTTGTTCAAATCTTTTCTGGGTTATGTGACACTTTCAAGATTAATGCCAAAATTTATAGACGCTTGTCTAATACTTTTTTTTCACTGTTTTTGTTGGAGAAAGAGAAAGAGAAAGAGAGATAAAAGGTTTTTGTAGTAGTAGTAGTAGTACTGGTTGAGAAGATATTTTAATTATGGTTTGAACTCGGAAGTTTTTGGAAGATAGGAAGAAGACGAAGGTTGTGTAATGAAGGCAGTTGGGACTTGTTGGAGATATATATAAATTTTAAAGGCAAACCAATGAGGTTTTTTTTTTTTTTTTTTTTTTTTTTTTTTTTTTTTTTTAGTGTGGTGCACGGTGAGAGATAATGTTATAAAATGAGTCCTTTCAATTTTTTGTGGAGTCCCTTTACTTACATTTTATTACAAAATGCCCCCACTCCTTTTGGTAATTTCCCATGGTAGGTGTTTCCATACTTGTACTAATTATACATACACCTTTACTGATTTTGGTTTTGTTGAGTTTGGTGAATTTTCTAATTGAAGGAAATTGAAAATGAGAAGGTGAGGTGGTAATTGAATTATTGCAAATGATTAGTGTTATTCAACTGACACGTATATAAAATAAGTATATAAAACCCAATATAAGTGATGAAGTGATATAAAAGATTGACAGACATGTAACTATAAACTCCAAAAGACTTTTTTTTCTGTTTTTGTTTTTTATTTTTTTAGTTTTTTAGTTTTTATTTTTTATTTTTTATTTTTTGGTAGAAATTTCAGAAGACTTCTAGGACGTGGAAGTTTGCTTATAAACTACTCCTACCACCCGTGCCCATCCAATGATGCCACAATATCACATATACTTGCTCTTTTACTTTTTTGACTTGTCAATTTGCTTTAGCATTTTTTTTTTTTTTTTTGTTGTGGAGAAATTTACTTTTAACATATTTATATAGAAAAATGGAACTAAATGAGTACCGACACTTTACATCAAACGCTTTAGGATGATAAATTTTTACCTAGCAATCATGACTTAGCAATCATGAATTAGGATCAATACTCGAGGTGTAGAAGTATTTGATGAAGACAGGGAAAGGACACATAATATAATCGCAAAACTATATAAAAGTTTTAACAAATTTTACAAATTCTTGGTATTTCTTAGGTATAGTATTTCTCTATTTGTTACATAATTTTTTATTTATGACATACTTGATGATATTGATTTCGAAATTTTTCTCAAACGTGCATCGAATTTCTCATAGAGTGATTGCATTAGTCCTTTAATTTTTTTAAAAAGAGTCTCTAAAATGGGAGTTTCTTTCGCAGGAGGATTAGAAAAAAAAAAAAATGAACTATTGATAATTTTTTATTTTTTAACTGTTAGATTTGTATTAAAAATTGTCTGTTAAAAATTAATAATGTCGATAAAGAGAGCCCTCTTAAAATATATATGTTGTTGACTTTAAAATGTCCAAAAAAAAGACTTCAAAATGAATATGATCTAGTAAACTAGATCTGATCAAGACTACATTAAAATAAAATATGCTGAAACGATGATTTTTAATAAAGATGATTAAAAACAGAATTCGTTTTATACCTTATCTTTGAATTCTCTTATAAACTGGCCATGTTTACTAGACCAAGCATAAGATTCTAACTTGCTCACATGAAAGTTAAATTTTTGTAAGTGGACAACCCAATAAAAAGCCTAAACCCAGCTCCTAACACTGCTTTTTATTTTACTATTACTATTTTAAAGATCCAATGGTAAAAGTTGAAGCAAGTCCATGGAAAAGTTGGCATTAGTTGAAAAGCAACAATGGTCTTTGTGTTAGACAGCTTCGTATTGCGTTGTCATGGAAAAAAGTTGATGACAAAAAAAAAAAAAAAAAAAAAAAAAAAAAAAACCCCCCCCCCCCAAAAAAAAAATCCTTTTATTTTCAGTCTCTCATCACGTGCTACAACATTCCATCCAAATATTTCTCCTCGAATCCTGCAGTGGTGAACAACGTTTGCTTTCATCTTAAATGTTGAAAAACAGTTTAGGTGAAAGCAAACATGAATGTTGTATTTAGCACTAAGATATAGTATGGTTTGAGGCCTTGTTTAGTTTGCCGTAAAATTTGTGTGATTTGATTTTAATTGTGGTGATTTAAATTGCGATTCGAACCGGTCTTTAAATACATATATAAATTAATATTTAAATTCAAAATAAAATATGAAATGTATTTGGATAAAATGTTAAAAATAATTATTAGAATTTTGTAACAAATCTTATAAAATCTCATTGTAAATGACATTAAAAATATACAATATGGATATGAATTTATTTCTCTCTTCGTTATGAATACACTGAAAATAAAATCATCTCAATCGAAATTTAAATGAAAAAATTATGACATTTTTAAACTTAAAGTTGAGTAGAGAGAAAAAGTAAGATCTAAATTATTTTCAATGTAGAAAATAATTAGGATTGTTGTAATTCTCTCAATTCTAAAATTAAAAGTTTAAACCATTGTTAATGGTTTGAATTATCTTCGTTTAGTTCTCTCTCAAACATCAATTTCAATATTGAACTACGGTTTGAATTGAATTGTTTTGTTTGAGATGTTGAAACTGACATGACATCATTTGTTTTGGCGGTCAATGAACACTAGGTTAAACGGCATGAGTTTGCTGAGACGGGGAAGGATTTAAGAGGGTACGAGTTTGATATTACATTGCAAATAAAGGGTCTTTTTACGGTAGAAGCTTCTAGTAGTAGTGTTTTTTTTTTTTTCAAATTTAAATTTGATCAAAATTACATGAGAAAAATACAAAACAGACAATTTCTTATACATATCTACCAGTAAAAAAACATAGATTTACTGATAGTTTATTTTTAAATCCTTACTGTAGAAATTTTCGTAAAATAAATAAATAAGTAAATATAACCTGTTTTAACTAAAAGATTGTTGAAAACTACGGCCCCAAATAAGTGCAAATGTGAATATCGCAAGACATGCTATATTGTTCAAAACTACGGCCCCAAAGAAGGCCACTGTGTAACTTTCTAGTGAAAAACCAATAGGTCAAAATCAAAGGATAACAAGCCAATATCAAGTTTTGGCATTTGAGCATAAAAAATATTAGCACAAGGTTTAGGTTTCATGTAGTTTGGTGAACAAAGTCTTAGTATTATTATCATTTATGCTTTACATGCTTGGATATCTGAAACTGTGTTGATAAACTAAAATGTTAAAACTACAAGATCCCCAATTTCTTTATCCATGCTTTATTCGAATAACGCAAGGCATAAAGGCCTTTTCTTGGCAGCATCTAAATTTTGTTGAAACAATTTATAAAGCGTAAAACATACAACTGTACCTCTTCAGAACTATAACATATTCACATTCCCCTCATCTTTCAGCAGCATGTGTATAAATGCAACGCATTTTGTCATCTCAAACCTTCTGCATTCGTGTTATCTGTGAACATGCATACTGCTGTTCACAAGGATATACAAATGCGCAGTGTACTAAGGACAGCTAATTCATCTACTAGACCAGTCTGCACATGCAATCGATCTTCAGGGAAAGAATCTCGGGAGGCGTTATTACAAGGGCTGTGGACGTGTCTGAACTACAAAGATATATTTTCCAACAACACATCCTTCTACATCCTGGGGGCAGCCAAACTTCTGCTCAAGGAAGAAACCCACGGCACCAAGGCGCTGACCAATCTGTCGGCGGAAAATTGGATCAACGGTCAATGCTTTCTTGCTGTAGTCTACAGTCAAATGGATAACCTCACCGTCAGCAGCACCTGCAGCAAGAACTGCAAGCTCCTCACTGAAATTTGCAAATGACAGCGTTCTTACAGTCCCATCAAACTTCTCGGAGGATAGACGCCAGGCTGTGCCTCTAGTGCCTGAAGCCAGTGTTTCACCAAGGCCAGAAGCAATTTCAGCTTCCACGTATTTATTATCTTGGTCTGTTGGACTTTGTGTGTGGAGAACAAAGGATAGATCTGGTGAAAGCATCTCCTGCACTAGAACTGCCATTGAAGCTTCCCCCTGTGGAACACCAGCTGCTCGGCGGCTCAAAATTGCTCTTCGGGTGTAAAGTGAAGCCCATACTCGACTAATAGCATTTCCTAAGATGCTTGGATTTGAAGTACTAACATTGGGAATTGATTCATAGAGTCCAGCAGCTGACAGTCCAGACAAGTCCTCAACATTAGCACTTGAACGGACAATTAATCGTGCATCCCTGGGAAATATTTTCTCTATGCTATCTATAATGTCATTCGGGGGCTGTAAGGAAGAGATGAGTTCCTGGAGCTGACCACATAATTTGTCGAGTTCACCGCCTTCAAGTTTTGCTGTTTCTATCTTATCGAGAAATGACTTAAAAGTTTCCATCAACTTGCTTTGTTCTAATGCCAATTCCATAGAGCCAAATGGTATCACTGCCCCTGCAGGAACACGGAATGATGCTGGGACCCCTTTGTCATTGTAAACTGCCAATGAAGAGACACATCTTCAGTAACATCACAAATTTTACTAAAAACAAAAATTGTACCATATATAACCAGTCCTTCTCAATCAAGGTAATTGAAACATATGAACCAATTACAACAGCTACAACCTGAGCATGATGAGAAGAAGAAAGGCATATAAGGCATATAAGGCATATATGTATCATTAACATAAACTAGATATGCAATTCCAAATATAACAACGTGTGTCTCTAGTACATTCTAACATTTAAAATGATGATTAGCCCGTCCACATTGCTGGCAACTCCAATTTTGTTCAAGGACAACCTTTCATGCATTATTTTGGCAGTGTAATAATACAAATTATACAATACAGGGTGACAAACAAAACCTAAAAGGATGAATTACTGGCCTTGTGCTGCAAAAGATATGAATTAGTAACACATCCTTACAGAAAATGACCAGAAGCAGAAGACTTTGCACCCTAAGGAAAGATAGAAGTTTTGACCAACAAAACGACTACCTTTATCAGATGCTGCTGCCAATGAAGCTAAACGACCACAACCAGAAGCCTTTGCACCTGAATTCTCAGCTTCAGCATCAGCAAGTAAGAGAACTCCTCCAGCAGAACCCTGGTTGGAAACACAACCATTGACAAATTGATGATCATCAAATCTTGGACTTGGCACTCTAAAAGAAATAGTAAAGTGGCTGAAATTTTAATGAAAATATAAGGAAGAACAACAACGTGATACCCGATTAGAATAAGGAGCTTTTGTAGACGACCAGGACAGATCTTCAGGTCTGGGGACTTCAACTGTTGATGAGTCATCACCTGAAAGAGCTTTCACAGCAAAGTGTTTTTTGCTATTATCGGATGAAGACAGATGAAGATTAACACCCGCTGAGGACGCATCCAGCCTTCAGTGTTCCACATGGGTACATAAGAAGGGTTGTCAGTTCAAAAAAATGCATATCCGAAAAAGCAATGCAATTTTAAAGAATGAATAATATGTTCTCTAAATCAGGAGGTCTTCCAGAAAAATAACCTCACATATTTTCCAATATGCTTTTTTATATCAGCAACTTTATCGTCGTCTTCGCATGTCACAAAGACAACCTTCTCCTGTAAAATACCACTAATATGTAACGAATTCAGTCGCAGATAATATAACTAACATTTAAGGAGTTGAGACTTGCCTGCCGGGCCCTAACACCAAGATGAGATAAGTGAGGTAGCTCTTGCAAAAGGACAACTCCCACTATATTACTTCCTGCAACTGCCACCTGCCAAATAGAAAAACCGTAAAAATACACCTTTTGTTCAAAATGAGAATGTCTGATCTGCCATCTGACAGAAAGTATTGAAAACCTCCTCATCTCCATCTGCTTTTTTGACCAGAAGAACAATTGATCCTTCCACTGATGATGGCATTGACCCCGGGACAATTCTATCAACCTGGTATTGTCATAAGAATGTTATACAGTGATCTGTAACACTCAATGTTCTGGCAGCACATATTATAAGTTGACGTAATTCAAGGCATCGAATGTTAGATAAAGGCAGATTTTACACAGATTTTCACTTGAGGAGGAAAAATCCCTAATGTATCAAGCCACAATTAAATGCTCACATTTCAACCAAATCCCTAAGCTTACACCATTTAGAAATGAAGGTTTTCTGAGGAATTGATCTGATTTTCACTTATTGAACCGAATAAAAAATACAAGATTATATAGAGAAGATGGCTCCACTATGAGAGCCATGAGACCCGGACCAAATCAACCTAATAGAGGAAAATCCTCCACTAAACTAGGAAGGAAATAAACGATGAGATTTGGTAATATTCTACCAGAATCTCCTTATTACTACTTACTAGAAATACAGAACATAATTCCTAACTCTTAAGTGAGAATTCCACACTCCCCCTTAAGCTGGGTTGTAAGTGTTTTACATGCCCAGCTTGCTACTCAGTTCTTCAAAGTTAGTTCTTCAAAGAGCTTTAGTGAGTATATCTGCAGTTTGAGACCTAATAGGGGTGTATACCAAATGTACAATTGCCTTCTCAATCTTCTCTAGCATTTCATGCCGATCTATCTCGATGTGCTTTGTTCTATCATGGTGCACAGGGTTCTTTGCAATACTTATGGCAGCTTGGTTGTCACAGAATATTTTGATGGACTTCTCAATAGTTATTCCCAACTCACTAAGTAGTCTCCTTATCCACATCCCTCCACAAATATCGAGAGCTAGAGCTCTAAATTCAACCTCTGCACTGCTTCTTGAGACTACGGATTGTTTTTTACTTCTCCATGTCACGAGATTTCCCCAAACATAGGAACAATACACAGATGTAGATCGCATGTCCGACACATTTCCTGCCCAATCTGCATCTGAGAAGACTTCAACATCTCTATTGTCATTCTTCTTGTATAACAAACCTCTCCCTGGAGTCATCTTAAGGTACCTGAAGATTCTATTTACAGCTTCCATACGTTCTTCTGTTGGGTTGTTCATAAATTGACTTACAACACTAATAGAGAAACCAATACCAGGCTGAGTATGTGAGAGATAGATAAGTCGTCCCACAAGTCTTTGATATCTCCTCCTGTCGACTGGTGCACTTTCTTTCTCAGTCCTTATCTTCTTGATTGAATCCATTGGAGTGTCTACAGGTTTACATCCAAGCATACTTGATTCCTTCGGTAAGTCCAGAACATACTATGTTGGGAAACAAATACACCTTTCTTTGATCGTGCCACCTCCATGCCAAGAAAGTATCTAAGATAACCAAGGTCTTTGATTTCAAATTCCTTGGCTAAAAACTTCTTCAATCTCAGGAATTCCTCCTCATAATCACATGTTAAGATGATGTCATCTACGTATACAATCAGTATTTCATGAATAGTGTATGATCTGCATGACATTAGGTGTATCCATATCTAATTACTAACTTTGCAAACCTGTCAAACCATGCACGAGGAGATTGCTTGAGTCCGTATAGAGAGTTTCAAAGTCTGCATACCTTATTGTTGTTAAGTGAAGTTCCTAGTCCTGGTGGTATCTCCATATACACTTCTTCCTCCATGTCACCATTCAGAAATGCATTCTTAACATCCAGTTGATGTAAAGGCCAATCTTGGATTGTTGCAAGGGAGAGGAGGACTCGGATGGTGTTGAGTTTAGCCACTAGAGCAAACGTTTCTTGGTAATCTATTCCATATGACTGAGTAAAGCCCTTAGCAACGAGACGGGCTTTTAACCTCTCAATACTTCCATCAGCCGTATGTTTGATTGTGAAGATCCACTTACAACCAACAGGTTTCTTTCCATAAGGAAGTTCTAAGATTACCCAAGTGCCATTTTTTTTCCAAAGCTCCAATTTCTTCACTAACTGCTTTTCTCCACTTTGGGTGTTTGAGAGCTTCCTGAATAGAATTAGGGACCTACACACTATCAAGAGCCAAAACAAATGCCTAGTAGGGTGGTGACAATCCTCCATACGAACCAAATTGGAGATGGGATGATTTGTGCATGTTCTAACACCCTTTCTTAACACAATCGGAATATTCAGGTCATCAATAACAGGTTCAACATTCTCAGGATCAAAAGTGCCCTTACCTGAGTGAATTTCAATAAGTTTCGGACTTAGTTCAAATTCTTGGTCATGTGTGAGAGGTGTTGAGTGCTCTGTTTCCTTCTCAGGTTTATGCCTTCTAGCATAGACACGAAACTCATTTTTTTCCAATTTGTGGTGATGTGGAGTGGTTACGGACTGGAGATTGAAGTGGACTTGTAGGAAGATGACTCTCGGATTGGTTAATGGTTTGAAGTGGGCTTGTAGGAGGGAGACTCACATATTGGTCTATGGTTGGGGATTGAATGATATGATCAGTGACTTCAGGATGAATGGAATTCGGTTGTGATGGCTGTGAGGAGTCCCCGGGCTGAAGTGTATGATCAAGATGAGATTCAACATCATGAAGAGTGTCCCAAAGCTGATGTTCCCTCATGTTCTCCCCCTAAATTTCATATTTGGGGTAATAGGATTGATGTTCAAAGAATGCCACATCCATTGAGTTGTACAGCTTTTTGGTGATAGGAGAGTAGCATTTATAACCCTTTTGGTTTGGTGAGTATCCGAGAAAGATACATTTGATGGATTTAGGGTCTAATTTGCTACGATGTTTTTTATGTATATGAATAAATAATACTGAGCACCCAAATATTCTAGTAGGAAGTGAAGAGATGATTTTGGTATGTGAAAAGGTCTGGAGGACTCGACAAGGAGTTAGGAATTTTAGAATTTTGAAGGGCATTCTATTCATAAGGTATGCAGCTGTAAGGACTGCCTCTCCCCAAAAATGTTTTGGAACGTGAGTAGAGAACATGAAAGAGGGAGCGGCTTCTAACAGGTGCCTATTTTTTCTTTCTGCAATCCTGTTTTGTTAGGGTGAGTCAATACAAGAACTTATGTGAACTATACCCTGACTTAGGAGATAAGTACCAAGGACAGATTTAAAGTATTCTTTGGCATTATCAGTTTTTAGGACTTGGATTATGGTTTGAAATTGAGTTTGTATCATGGAATTGAAATTTTGAAAAATTTGACCAACTTTTGACTTTTCTTTCATAAGAAATATCCAGGTAAGCCTAGTGTGATCATCAACAAAAGATACAAACCATCGTGCTTCTGTTATATTTTTAACTCTTTGACGAACCCCACACATCACTATAAATCATGGCAAATGGATGAGATGGTTTATAAGAAAGACTAGGATAATTGTTACAAGTATGTTTGGCAAGTGGGCAAATTTCACAATTGAAAAACTTTGGACTTTTATTAATAAACAATGAAGGAAATAGTTTTTCAAGATACACGAAATTTGGATGACCAAGAATATAGTGCTATAACATGACTTCGCTATCTTTATTGACACTGGAATTTAAAATTGACAGACTCTTAAAAGACATACAAATTGCATTCTGAGTTTGTCTTCTTAGAGGAATATCATCTTTGAGAAGATAGGGTCCTAAACACTCCTCAGCACTGCCAATCTTCCTCCTCGAATCCAATTCCTAAAATTCACACAAGTTTGGGAAAAATATAGTGACACAGTTATGATCAAGAGTCAATTTACTTATCGAGAGTAAATTACAGTCCAAATTAGGAACATGGAGAATAGAATTTAGAGTCAAGTCCTTTATAATCCTGATTGAGCCTGTTCCCGCAACTTTAGACAAGGATCCATCAACTATTCGGACTTTATAATTCTTGCTACATGGGTTGCATCTCCCGTCATGTGGTCTGACGTTCTAAAGTCAATGATCCATGGACATGAGAGCCTTTTATTGACTGTAAGGGCATTGGAGAAATTACCTTTTTGCACTAACATGCTAGTTCCAGGGACAGAAGTACTTGACTGAGTGAAGAGTTTTTATAGGACTTCGAGCTGCTCCTTGGTGAAAGGGTTGTCTCTGTTGAAGTAGAACTGTCATCTGTGGTAGCAACAGCATTGGCACGGTTCTCTCTGTCATGGGCTGGTCGTGTCCAATCGGCAGGTTTGCCGTGAATTTTCCAGTAATTTTCTCTTAGATGTCTTGGTTTCCAGCATTGGTGTCATGGGCTGGTCGTGTCAAATCAGCATGTTTGCCATGAATTTTCCAGTAATTTTCTCTGAGGTGTCCTGGTTTACGGCAGTCATCGCACCAAAATCTCCCTTTTCTCTGCCGATTGTTGTTGTTTTACGAGTTTCCTTGAGCCACAAGTGCAGATCCTTCAAGTGTTGTAGCAGTGTATAGAGATCCCATTATTAGTTTCTTTCTACTCTCCTCATGACGGACATTTATAAATGCCTCTTTTACACCCGGAAGAGGTTTGGTCCCCATTACTCTCCCTCTGACTTCATCCAGATTTTTGTTGAGGCCGAGAAGAAATTTGAATGTCCGTTTCTGCTCCACAATTTTCCTATACAAGGCTGTATCTTCCGGGCACTTCCCGCTGTGGACTTCGAACGTATCCATTTGTTGCCAATGGCGAATCAGACTGTTATAATACTGAGAAACTGTGAGATCTCCCAGGCGTAGGTCGTGCAGTTTGCCTTCAATTTTGAAAAATTCTATAGTATTTTCAGAACTCGAGTAAGTCATCCTCGCTGCATCCCAGATTTCCTTCGCTGTCTTGTATAGAAGAAAATTTTCTCCTATGTCATGATTCATCAAATTAATCAGCCATGTCATCACCATGTGATTCTCAGCTTTCCACACCTTGAATTTGGAATCATTCTTCTCTGAAATGATGAGTTCATCGGTGAGATATTCATCTTTGCCCTTTCCGCATATAAACATCATTACAGATTGGGACCATTTGAGATAGTTATGCCCCTTAAGTTTGTGATTCGTGATGAGAAGAGAAGTACCTTCTGATCCTCCATGATTGCTTACAGCAGGTGCCGCTT